CATCTTATTCTGGGGTGTATCAACATGTTCTAAAGCCAAAGGAAAATAAATACTTCTATGTGTTCTAGGTCTACCCTGGGATCCCATCCTTACTTCCAAAGGAAGGGGGTAGGGGGGAGTTAGGGAGCATCCAGAACACATATTATACTACAGCAAATCACTCTGATATATGGAGTAGTGATCCTTCTCCTAACTTACCCTTAATGCCATATTTCCTTATATAATAAGGCTGAGACAGCCACCATACAGTGGCTTTCCAGGTCTCCCTTAAAAAAAAGGTGGTTAATCCCAAACATAACTTTCCTGGTAAATACAGGTTTAATATATAACCTAATGTGTAACCTTATTTTAGGCATATATGCCTTAAATTCCATTGTTTTCGCCATAAATTGGACTATAGATGGCTATGTATCTAATTTAATGTCCATATGTGGGCCGTGGAACACAGATGGAGTGTAAAATCCAAAACATCAATTTTTCTGCCTGAAGTACTAGAGGCAAGTTACTAATTCCATCTTTAATTGATCCTTCTATCACTCTTCCTCATGAGTAAGAGATTCCCCCCCTAAACTATGACTAAAATCCTGTAAAATGGCATTAACTGGTTGAGAACTTATTGACTTAGAGGAACTAAATTGCATCGCAGCTGCTTCACTCCATTGTGATCGGCTCCTGTGCACCATTTAAGTAGTGGTTAGAACAGAATAATTATACAAAGACCACATAGCTTTTGAAAGCAACTCAAGTTTACTTTGCTTTTACAGATCCCACTACAAAATACAGTTTTCAAAACCCCCAAAACACATGTAAAAATCGAACTTCTATTTAATTTCAAGTTCCGCTCATATTCTCCATTTATACCACACCTTACAACATCTTATAATATGCCACAAATGATCATAGCTTTTTTTTTTTTTAAAGGGAAGGTAACTAACATGATGCCTGCCAAAATCTATCCAACTAGGTAAGAGCTAAAATCAATGTTCAATTGGCTATGCATTTAGAAGATTTATTTAAAATAAAAGAGATGTGGATTAAGGGAATCAACACTTTGGAATCAGCTACTTCCCTTTTATCCTCACTGACATAAATTGTCATCTTCTTTCACTCACCCTCTTGTTTGCTCACACAGCTAGATGCGCACACACAGACAGATGCGCGCACACAGTGAGCAACTGTGATACAGCCGAGGTTAAGCCACACCTGTGGGTCGCTCTCCAGTGTAGCCGGACAATGATTGGCTCTGTTGAAAGAAGCTGGACATACCATCACACATCACTCCTTCTCTGTCTCATGCTCATTCCCCTCGAATGTCTCTATCTC